CTGACGATGAAAAACAGTACATCCAAGTGTGTGCTTCCAAGTCACCCAAGTGGCCATCATTGGGGAATGATGGACACCCAGCTCCTCGGATGCTGTAGGGTCAGCGTGTGCTGGGCTATTGCACGTCTGGGACCAGATGCAGCAGGTTCCTTGCTCGTGGCTGGTAGGGCCGGAAGAGGTTTGCATGGACCAGTCGCTGTGTCTGTGGAGACTCGGGCGTGCTCACCTCCTCATCTCCCGTTAGAGGGGCCAGACAGCTTGAGTCTATTTAACACTTTTTCCTCTGTTCATTTTGTTATAATCTAGACGTTAACTGACTTAGGTGGAAACAGGAAGAGATGGGTTTTGGTCAAATGGAAAAGATACTCCGTAGAGGCCTTGCACCGTGTGTTACAAATACACAGCATGAAATCAACCTCAAGGTAAGTAGGGTGCTTTCTGTGACTGTGTCAGCAGCTGGTTTTCCTGTACTGGTAGGATGGGTTACTGCAGTACTCGGGACTATTCGCTGGACCCAGTCAAGAGGGGGTCTTTTCTCTTGCACTTTCAGAAAATAAACTAGAAAGCTCAATTTCCTTCTGAATCACTGCCCCTTAATAGCCTCTGCCTAGAAATGCTTTTAAACCGGCACTGCTGTCTGGAAGGGGCTCCAGGGGTGGACAGTAACAGACTTCTGCGCAGGGAAGTGGGCTATGAAATGGAGACAGTCGCCCAGTCCTAAAAACACTTGAATTGTGTACCCAATGGAATATTTATACTTTTGCAAACTTCAACTTTCATATAAGAATAAAAAAGGTGGTAGCTGTGCAGGAAGAGCTGGGTGCTAGGGAAAGCTTTTACAACTGCTTTGTTTGGTCTCTGAAAAAAATATCCTAGATACACGGATTTGAACAAGGTCATCTTTACTAGAACTCAGTACACAGCAGCTAGTGGTAGAGCTGGACACAGGATTAGAGCAATTCATCAACATCAGAGACCTTCTTGACTCAGAAGATTAAGGCATAAGATGGGAAATGACAAGGGAAAAGAGTTGATTCCTGCCTTAACCCAACCTTAGAAATGCAGTCTCAATGAAAAAAAAAAAAAAAAAGGGTTCTAATCCAGCATCCCCTCTCAGCAGGTGGTAGGAAAAAAATAATTTGAATCTCATTGGAGGAAAAACTGTCCTGAAATTGTAAAGGTTATGGAACTTGACAACTTCTTCAATCAACATATGTATATAGAAGTTCAGCCTTGGGTTAAATTTTTAAGGGTGTATTTATGGGAAAATGATAGAAGATGAATTTCTGAATTTGCTTGTGCTTGACTGAATTCTTCCTGTTTTTAATGGATAATATTGAAGGTGATTTCCCATTTTTTAAAAAATGGTCTAAAACATGATTTGTAGAGTTAGTAGTAATTAAGGCCACAACAGTCCATTTTAGAATCACATTTTTAAAGAAAAAAGTTTTTTTTTTTTTTAATTGAAGTTCCTTAATAAGCCTATGTTCTGGAATCCTAATACTGTTTCAGAACCTGTGTGTGGCCATAGTCTAGGGCCACCCGTGGAAGATGAGCCTCAGGAGCCTCCACACATGTAAATGTACCCTCAAGAGAAATCTGCCTTCACCTGTCCCCCAAGGGATGACCTTATTTACAAATAAAGTTTAAAAGTGGACAGTTGGGAACTGGAGCCGTGGTAAAGGCAAGCAGTTTTTCCAGAGGTTTAATCTTGCCCTTAATAGTTGGTCTTTATTTGCAGCTATTGCTTGAAGGACAAGGTCTTTCCCTTAGCTGGACTTGAACCATTCTGAGGACTGTTTGTGTCCCTGCTCTGGTGGGTCTCCAAAGTATTCTTTGTCAGTCTTGATGCTGTGGGAAAAGGTAACCTATCTCCAGAGGAATGGTAGGGACTTTGAAAAATGTTCTTATTTCTGAGCTCAGGAGGGTGTTCTCAAAGCCAGTCTCGCCTGTTCCTTTAAGGGCAGAGGAGAGAAGATGCTCAAAGAGGCAGAAAATTGTTTTCTTTCTGTCCGCTTTCCACGCTGGACACAGCAGAGGCCAAGAGGCTGAGCTGCCTGTGCCTTTGCCCACACGGGGCAAAGCCCAGAACCTGCACAGCCCGCTGGGCCTTTCCACAGTGCAGGGACATGCTGCCTCATCCCTGACTTTCCCTGTGAGCCAAGACGTATAAAAAGAATATATAAAGTAGGAAAGGATGCAGTGTTTTTGTTTTTTTTTTTAAAGGTATTATTTATTTATTTGACAAACAGAGATCACAAGTAGGCAGAGAGGCAGGCAGAGAGAAGAGGAAGCAGGCTCCCTGCTGAGCAGACAGCCCAATGCGGGGCTCGATCCCAGGACCCTGAGATCATGACCTGAGCCGAAGGCAGAGGCTTTAACTCGCTGAGCCACCCAGGCGCCCCAGGATGCAGTGTCTTACTTAGAAAAAGAGTGTCTTCAGGTGATTTCTTGAGTACAGTAGGAGTATAAAAGGGCTTCGCAGCAGAATTACTCTGAGCATTGTGAGGTGAAGACAAGTCCCGTGCGGTCTGGGTCAGGGCGGCCCTGTAGAACTTTCCGTGGTGAAAGAAATGTTCTATATATGCACCATTCTGTAGGGCAGCCCCTAAACTCACATGGTCACCGAACACTTGACATGCTGCCAGAGAGACTGAGGAATAGAGTTTTAGATTTTAAGTTCGGATGGCTACAGTGGTCAGTCGCTGGAGTACTGGATAGCGCAGGTATGAGAGAATATACCTTTGTATATACTCTGTTACTGTTTTATTCATTTTACATACTTTTTTGGGGGAAGAAGTGAAATTTGTATATAAACTGCTTTGGCCTATGTTTATTCCAAGAAATGAACACCTTGTCTACAAAACTATGTCCAATGAAGGTTGGAGTCACATTATAAAGGAGGAAGGGAAAAAGAAGGGACTATTTTGATTGCTCACCTATGCGCTGATTTAATCCTCACAACAGCTCCGTAATGGAGGCTGTGTACTAACCAGGGCATATTCAGCTAGAGAAACAGTCCAGTCCGGGTTGGCTTAAACCAAAGAAGAAAACTCACCGTAAGACCCCCAGGATTAAAGGGTAGTCAGTATAAACGGGTACCCACCTACTGCCGGTGACCTGCAGTCAGGGGGCCAGAGTTCTACTACACAAGCATGGCCACTTAGGGATGCTGTGTCTGAGTGGGTACTGCATTGAACAGAAAACAGAATATATATTATATATATTGCAATCCTTAGAGCAGCTGTTAAAAATGTAATGCAAAGAACTGTAACTTAAAAACCAATAGGTGAATTAAAATGGAATTATTTAAAAATTAAAATTGGAAGGAAGGGCAAAGACCAGATATATAAGAATGTTTGGTCACAAGAATTGCTGAAACTGGGTGATGCATACATACATGGGTTCGTTATTCTACTTATCTTTGTAAATATTTAAAATTCTCCATAATAAAAGGTTTAAAAAATACATGTGTTCACACAGGGTCCCTTGGTCCTTCTGATCCAATCATTGTCCGAGCTTTTCTAGGTGAAAAACAGCTTTTGAGCTCTTGTCCATGCAGTGCAAGCACAACCCCTCAGACCCATTAGGTGGAAAGCTTCGGGCTCGGTCAGCATTCTTGTCACAAGTGCAGTTGATGAAGAGTCCTGGTATTTCCTTGCAGTTTTGATAAGTGGGTCTGGAGTGGGACAGGAGTATCTGATTTTCTACACACAAGTCCAGTGACATGGATGCATGTTCAGGTTTGGGGAGGCACAGCGTCAAGGGAGAGATTCTATGGATTATTATGTGCAGGTAGCCCTCGGTCCCGTCCTTGGCTGGGCACTTCCCGGCTGTAGGACCCATGCAGCACGAGGATGTGGCACTTCGCGCACAATCTTAACTACGCCAGTGCATCGTGAGGCATCCTGCCATTGATTCTCATTTTGTGATTCCAGCAGAGTATCTCTTTCTGGGCAGCTGATTTACGGTAGAGCCATGTCAGTTGCTTTGGTTTGGAGACACAACTCTCATGGGTGAGTTTTCTCCCCAGCTAGCACACCGAGCTTACGGGCTGTCTGCGCCTTTCCTCAGGAGAGCTCCCTTCTTCCTTCACAGGGGCGGCTTCACAGGCACGTGATGGGCACACATGATCCCCCACACCCACTGGGCCTCACACGTGGTGAATGCTCTCCTGTCACTGTCTGGAGTTCTTAATCTTGTCTTTGAACTTGTGTTTTGTAAGTGAAGTCTGATGAGACATACACAGGAGCAGAGGTGATCCCTGCAGGGTGTCCACTGCTCCCCACCACCCCATTCACTTGGAGCCTTTGTGACGCCGGTGTGCGCAGAATTCCAGCAGACCCACCAGGTGCAGGTTGAGAAGAGATTCAATATAAGCAAGTTATTCCTACAACTGAGTAAGTGGGGGCACTGAGAGCCCCCAGAGGCCATGCTATCCATTGGAACCGGACTTGATTTGAATGCAAAAGGAAGGTAATGGCATTCTAAGAAGTGTGAATGACCCTAGAACCCCATCATATCCTTTTTCTACTCTTGTTATTTTTCTTATTTTACTCCTGTCATTTTCCTTCATTAGCCATCCACGTCTGCTGAAAATGATGACTTAGGAGAAAAAGAAAACATGGGCAGCTCCTACTTTTTCTTTTAGTCCTTCCTTACTCATCAGTAAGGTGAAAGAGTGTTGATAGAATGTGTACATATCAAGGAGGGAAATAATAGTTGAGCGAGGCTTTTCTGTAGTGTTTCCAGTGTTCTACTGAGGACAAAATATGTATATCATACAACATGAATACATAAGCTATGAAATACAAATTGTCTAATTTTGGTGATTCTGCATGAGTTCACTGCTCTTCTAGTTGCATTTAAAACAGGAATTGTGTACTATAAAGATGAATAAAATTAATGCTAATAATTTAGAATTTAAATTTTTTCATTACTTAGGACAGCATTAAGTAGCAAGTAAAAACCCCGCATAACAAGATGTGAGAGAGACCATGGAAGAAAGAACATTTCAGTACTTTTAATGGTACTATTTTCCTAATTTTTGGACACGAGGCCCCACATCTTTGTTTCGCTCTGGGTCCTGCACCTCAGGTAGCCAGCGTGGCTCTTCACTGCTCTCCTTTCCTTCACGGAGCCCCCTTCCTTCTCTCTTCTATAGCCTCCTGAGGACTCCCACTGATGTGAAGGGCACCACTGCTCTCCTAGTTCCTCTGCTGCTGCACCTGTGAGAACTAGAAAAGGGCCAGGGCTGAGTTCAAAGTAACTCAAGGGACCCACCAGCACTAGAGGCTGGCTGGCTGTAGGACAGGAGGACATGCCTGCTCTATGTTCTTCTAACTCTGACTTGTCTTGGAGCAGCTGCCACATGCTGGAATCACTGATCTTGTGCGGTTGCTTCTCCCTTTGATTTGATCGGTTCTGGCAAAACAATTCTTCTGACAGACTAAACTTCAGCTATTATCCTTGACAGCTTGGTCCTTCTTTTTCCCTTTCTGCCACTCCATGAATTGATGAAAGCTGGGGGTAGTAGGCAGGGCAGGTGGACAACTCTTGTCAGCAGTGATTTCTTAAAAACTCTTTATGAGGAGTCATGGAAAACAATGCTTGGGAATTTGTTTTTGTTTTTATATTAAGGTTAAGCAGAGAATTACCTCCTCTTTAAAAAAAAAAAAGAATTTTGGCAATGTATAAACACACTGCAAAACTGGAAAAGACAAACTTTTATAGGAAGCTAAAAAAGGACCAGAATTAGGAAAAATAAAAAGAATATATACAACTGTATCTTCAAGAATTTTCATGGAACATTATGACCCATCAAATCAAGATATCCACATTTTCTAACAAAAATGAACTGATCTGAGTAAGGCAGCATGAAAATATTCTAATACAGTGCTGCTCAACAGAACTTTCTGTGATGACGGAAATGTTCCATTATCTCTGTTGACTACAGAAGCTACTGGCCACATGGATGCGCACAATGTGGCTAATGCAACTGAGGAACTGAATTCTTAATATAGTTTAAACAGCCACTGTGACTAGTGATTACCAACTGAACAGCACAGTTCTAATGCCTCATGGGTCAAAATCAGTGGTTTCTTCAGGGGATTTCTCTCATCACCACTGACAAGTGTAGAGGGTTGGGGGTGGAAAGAGAGGGAAGCTCTTAACAGCTCTATTTAACACGTACGTTCTGAAACTCTCAGAGGCAAGAGATGAGGCAAGGACTCTGGGGGAGACCTGAGAATGCCCTTGAACTCCTGGCTAATGCCAATGGAAGCAGAAGGCCTAGGATTTGGCTCACTGTGATGGGAAGAGGGCTATGGTACAACTCATAGAATCTGAGGCTTGGGCCACCTGTGCATGGAAATCATGTTGAGGGGCTCATGGGGAGGTGGGTGCTCATTTCCGGACAGGGTTTCCAGGGCTAGAAGAAGATTTAGAGGTGGAGGGAGGACCTGGGGGCCCTTTCTGGCCACCTGCAGGCTGGACTGGCCCTTTCTTTTTGGGGATTAAGGTCTTGTTCTTGCTCTTGAACACTTTGCTGGGATCCAGCTTGTTCACGAAGGAGTTGGTCTCTTCTGCAAGTAGGTCTGTGTTGTAGGTGATGGGTTTATACATGTTGAACCACTGCTATAAGGGAGAATTGGGAGAGGTCAAAATTCGAAGGAGAAAGGTGACTGTTTATGTTCTTTAGTGGGGACCCAAAGGTAGAGAGGTGGGGAGATAAGGCAAAGAGAACAAACGTTTTTATGAAAAAAACCTTGAAAATCTGTTAGGACTTCCTTTAGGTAAAGGGGTGGCACACACATTGCTTTATTAAGTCTCGTAACCTTTAAAATAAATCTAGCACAAGGACTGAGTAAACTTCCTTCTGATCTAGTGAGCCCTGAGCGTGGGGATGTGGGTCCCAGAGTATCAGCGTCCTTCTAATTGTTCTGTCCTCACACCAGCTACTGCCCGTCAGGTGGATATGGCAGCACTTCCCCCCAGGGAAGGTGCATGACAGAGGCCAGTGGCAGGCCCTGGCTGCGGGAAGCTGCGTGTGCTGGTGCTCTCTTTCCCTTCTGGGCAAAGAGCATCACGTTTATTGACCTCACCACGTTGACTGGATGGATGTTAGGTGACATTTGGGCAAAGTAAGGCCCAGCAGATGAATACATGCCTGGTGCTGAGCCCCTGAGTCACTGCCACCCAGCCAAAGTTCTTCAGGGCACACCTGGTCTCAAACTAGGCGGTATATGAGCATTACCAGGCAACCGTTTTTGAAATGTCGCCCGGATCTATTACGCAAACAAGGCACATCCATACAACGCATATTCCGTATTACTGAAAAGGACAGTTCTGCAGGTACTGGTAGGGAATGAACCCCAAGACGGGCTGTTAAGTGAAAAGAAGGTGCACAATGACGTGAGAAGTATAGTGCACTTGTGATTTAGAAAAAAGGAACCAAAAACCATATGCCTATATGCTTTCTAGGCAAAAGTACTGTGTGAAAAACACAAGAAAAACGGAAACAACGGCTGCCTCTGGGGGAGGCTGGGAGGCTGGAGAGCCTGGGAATAAGACTGACTTTGCACCCTTCCTGGGTGCATGTCCTGCCTATCTAAAACCAACACTCAAACCTAAGCCCCCACTAAAATTTAATTAGAAAACTCCCAGGTGATTATGAGGATCAGCCACGTTTGGGAACCACTTAGTTCAGTAAAAGTCAGGCCATCCACCTTCACTGGCACCATCTGCCTTGCTTAATGAAAATGCAGGTTCCTGGGCTCCATCCCATCTTCTGAATCAGGGAAGCTAGGAATCTGCATTTAAGCATTTCCTCAGAGATTCTGATATGGTCCACAGATAGGAGATGGCTCGTGTCTCTCCCTTACCTTGGCCTGCGGGCTAATGCCATAGCTGGTGAAGGCGTACTGCCACTGCGGCAGGCCCAGGTGCGTGATGAGCAGGCGATAGTAAGCGGTGAAGGTGTCTGTGAGAAAATGCCAGTATAATGCTCTGTCCAGGAACCAGATCTCAGTGTCTTGTGCTAACGCTGAAATAGCAAACAAAAGAAAGAAATGAACGGATGGCATAAGACTTTTCTACTTTTATCTGTAAAGCCAATACTCTCATGGTTTAAAAAAAGAAATTCGGACTAGAGAGGGTGGTGGGGATATGGACATTGGGGAGGGTATGTGCTATGATGAGTGCTGTGAAATGTGTAAACCTGGTGATTCACAGACCTGTACCCTTGGGGATAAAAATACATTATATGTTTATTTAAAAAATTAAAAAAAAATTCTAGTAGTGGAAGGATGAAAAATACAAGTGAAGAGTTCCTCAGGCCCATTCTCCTATGGCCACTGTTAGGGGTTTTATTGGTCTTCTTGTACAAATACCTGATCAGTCAGCTGACTGACTTCTGTCCTGGGCATTGGCCATCTGTGCATTCAGGCTGACCATTCAGCAGCCCCCCCGCCCCACTGGGCACAGACTGTTTTCAGTTTTTCAGTTTCAGTTTTCCTGATGGGACAGACTCAGAAAGCCTGATTTCTTTTTTTTTCTTTTCTTTTCTTTTTTTTTTTTTTTTAAGATTTTATTCATTTATTTGAGAGACAGAGAGACCATGAGCTAGAGAGCACAAGCAGGGGATGTAGGGGAAGCAGACTCCCCACTGAGCAGGGAGCCCAATGTAGGGCTCCATCCCAGGACACTGGGATCATGACCGGAGCCAAAGGCAGCCACTTAAGCGACTGAGGCACCAGGCACCCCAAGGCTCCAGTTTTCTGAAGAGGTCTCTGTCAGGAAGCTGAAGGGCCGTGAGCAGCCACTGTGTTGGAGCCCAGACGAGCTCCTGCTCTGGGTCCTGCCTGTGCTGTTGCGGGAGGTCCGGGCTCAGCGGAAACAGGCACGGTCCCAGCAGCGCCAGCCTCGCACTCACTTCTGACCTTCCATTCTTCCTCCTGCAGGCCTCTAGTTCGTCTCTTGTCTAATGGCTATGATGGCTTCCTCAGTGGCCCCCACCCTCCAGTCTCTTCTTCTAAGACTGCCTGTGCAAATGTACATTTCCATCTTAATTTGGCTGTTCCTTTACTGGACTTCCCAGCGCCATGTCCGAAGTCCTTCCAAGCTGTGCATGAAGGGGAACAACTGGACTTCTGGCTCCATCTCCTTATCCACAAGATGAACCAGGCAGCCCTATGATTTGAAATTATCATTCCTTCCAAATCAGCTGCACTTTCCCATGGCAGAGCTTTACCTAGTCTCTTTGCCTGCATGCTTCCCTTACCCCACAATCCCTCCTGCCCCACCCTTCTCCACAACCCAAGATGTGGATGAAAGGCTACTTTGCAAAGTTGGTCCCTCCGTTCTCTAGGGTTAAAATCCTGGCGTCTATATCTTCTCACCCGTACAGGCTGAGAGCTACCTGGAGAGGGCTAGGCCTTGTCCACAGTCCTAGGGCAGGGCCTGAACTGTTGCTGGGGGGCCAGCTCATAGCTGTTGCTCTGGGGCCAGAGCCTTTTCCTCTTGAGTTCTCATCTGAGGTCTTAAGACTGATGTCTACTCATTCAGGTTTTTAGTGTTGTTAACTTGCCTACATAGAGAAGTGTGTAAGAAAGATAATGCTTTTCCGGGATGCTTTTCTGATGTGTGAACCCGTTGGAGGAATGTTTATAGAGGAATGTTATATACAGTCTGTTTATAGAAACAGAATGACTATTTCTTTTAGTTTTTACTCACTTATTTTCCTTTTCCCATTTTTTTCTGCAGTAACTCACAAATGATGACAGCTTAAAAAAAGACTCTAGTGATTGGCCTAGAAGGGAATGCTCAGGGAGGACCAAAGGGGCTTATCGGGTCTTTACATCTCCAAGAGACCTGGCCGCATCTCATGGGTCCAGAGTGGAATGTGCCTTTTGTGTCATGACTGGAGAGGAGGATCATCCTGCCACACCCAGCTGCAGGGCCATGCCTGTCAATGACTCTTACCTGGTTTCCCTCTTTTGTAGACAAGGCAAACCTTCCCATTCCCATTGCAAGGATCCAGCTCAAATATCACGCTGCGAGAATCAAAGTGTGGCTTCTCTGGCTGGTTCTCACTGGCTGCAAACCCAGAAGGTAACAGTTACGTTCAAACATACTCAACTCAAACACATACTTATCCAGCACTGCTAGGGTTGGGGGGTGGGGGAGAAAAACAGAAAAAAGCCTTATCTCAGACATATTCTTAACTACTATCTCCAGTGCAGGCCAAATGAAATTTTTTTAAAGATTTATTTCGGAGGGGGGGTGGCTGGGTGGCTCAGTGGGTTAAAGCCTCTGCCTTTGGCTCAGGTCATGATCTCAGGGTCCTGGGATCGAGCCCCACACGTCGGGCTCTCTGCTCAGCAGGAAGCCTGCTTCCCTCTCTCTCTCTCTGCCTACTTGTGATCTCTCTCTGTCAAATAAATAAAATCTTTAAAAAAAAAAAAAGATTTATTTCAGGGGTGCCTGGGTGGCTCAGTTGTTAAGCGTTTGCCTTCGGCTCAAGTCATGATCCCAGGGTCCTGAGATTGAGCCCTGCATCAGACTCCCTGCTCAGCAGGAAGCCTGCTTCTCCCTCTCTCACTCGCCCTGCTTATGTTCCCTCTCTCGCTATGTCTCTCTTATCAAAAAAAAAAAAAAAAAAAAAAATCTAAAAAAAATTAAAGATTTCAGGAGCAAGTAAGGGGAGAAGGGGAGGAAGAGAATCCTCAAGTAGACTCCCCACTGAGCGTGGGACCCTGAGATCATGACATGACCTGAGCCGAAGCCAAGAGTCAGACACTTAACTGAATGAGCCACCCAGGTACCTCCCCACCCCAATGAATTCTATACTCTGTATGCCCAGGATCTTACCCATGTCTAAGCCTTTTGTCTGGGCTTCTCTATCACAGACAGACAGCGTCACAGAATCTAGGGGACGGTGGCACAGGAAAACAAACTGAACTTACGAGAGTGGGAACATACAAAGGCAAAATAATCTGGCCTGATGTTGCCATCCCTTTTTCCCAGATAACTGCTTTCCCCTTATGTATAGCACTTTATGATCTTTTGATTAGAATCTCTTTTCCTTGGCCTAAAATGTATTTATAATATTTAATATTAATTACATTATAATTAATGATAAGCCTGGTTCAATCAGAAATACCTACCTATCTAGTAATCACATATAATGGCATACCAGAAAAGAGAGCCATTTTTAGAAATGCAAGCATCAGAAACCTTTCCTGCTTCTTTCGTTACAGCCATTATGTAATAATGATTAATATTAGTGAGTGAGGGTGAGAGTTTACAAAACTAGGAGACTGGATAAAACAAAGCCTATAAGAAGGCTATTTTTTACTTGTACATATAGTCATACATATAATTTTACGCAAATGCAAAAATATTTACATTTCTAACTAAAAAGTGCTTTAAACATGGCTTTTCCTTCCCCTGGAAGTTACACTTTAATACTCTTCTTCTTCTTCAAAGATTTTTTTTATTTTTTTGACAGATGGAGATCACAAGTAGGCAGACAAGCAGGCAGAGAGAGGAGGAAGCAGGCTCCCTGCTGAGCAGAGAGCCTGATGCGGGGCTCCATCCCAGGACCCTGAGACCATGACCTGAGCTGAAGGCAGAGGCCCCAACCCACTGGGCCACCGAGGCACCCTTTATACTCTTCTTAATCTTATGTGGTCTTCGACTCATGGAGTGCGACAAGTTCCACCTGTCTTCCCAGCTCTAGGCTGTGGACTAGAAACCTCTCTCAAGTCATAAGCTGAGGTTTCCCTTCTTTATTTACATCTCTCAGGCTCATGGTCCTTCACTGCCCGATGGTCAGTGTCTTGAAATCCATTTTTTTTTTTTAAGATTTTATTCATTCACCTGACAGAGAGACCACAAGTAGGCAGAGAGGCAGGCAGACAAAGGAGGAAGCAGGCTTCCCGCTGAGCGGAGAGCCCGATGCGTGGCCCGATCCCAGGACCCTGAAATCATGACCCGAGCCAAAGGCAGAGGCCCTAACCCACTGAGCCACCCAGGCGCCCCCTGAAATCCATTTTTATGTATCTTCTCTGTTGTTGTTGTTCCAAGGGGGCAGATAAATCAGGTCTGTGATTCCCATCTTGGGTGAAATCCGAAGTCCAGAATGTAGGGTCCCACCAAGCTTCAGCAGCCCTGCCCTGACTGATGCTGACGGGACCTGCCTGAAGGGGAAGAGTATAAAATAGGACCTTACTCAGTGTGGCTCCCTTCTCCCATTTGTAGATGCCACTCCAGTTTCTGCTCATTTTTGGTTATTCTCCAATCTTTTTGGGTCATTGTCTTTAAAGTTTTCCCAGAGTTTATAGTAGTCTTTGACTTGGTAAAAGGTACTCTGCCATTAGCAGGAAGACGAAGTCAGTATTTGAACATTTTTTTTTTTTTTTGTAACACCAAATATGCAATGTCTTAGTTTCTCACTGAAATTTTAGTTTGGGTTTATCCCCATGTGTGCATTACCATTACCGTGCCTAATAATTCACTCTCAGGAGTACCCGTGAATCTCTTTCTTGTTACCTGTTATTTGTGCTGGTTCTTATTCATGGTCGTGTGTTTTTCATGTGCCTAGTTATTTTTTAAAAAGGAAGTATTTTTTTGAAAAATTATTTATAAAACAATTTGAGGTTTAAGATACTATTATCATCCCCCAGGGTGGAATTCTCTTTTTATATAAGAGCTTTACTGAGATATAATTCACCTAGCATACCATTTACTCATTTGAAGAATACAATTTAATGATTTTTATAATATTTACAGTTATATAACCATTAAGATAATCAATTTTAGAACATTTCTCTAGAGTGAATTTGTTTCTGCTATGCTCCTGAGGAGATCAGTAACCTCGAATCATTTTAGTCCAATTTCCAGATTTAACATTTTCTGGGCCACACAGAGGACTTACACTTGAGCCTCAGTCCAGGAGAAAAATGGTTACTTTTGGCTTATTCTGTCTCCTGGGTACTGCTCTTAATGGTGCCAACCTCAAAAGTAGCAAGTTTTTATGGGTGTCATCTTTTGTAAGGTCTGGGCTCTGTTTTATTCCCCTGGTCTCAAAATGGGGCAAATCCGCAGCGTTCCAGCATCTTCATAGCCTGTTGTGAAGAGGGCAATCAATGCACTACAAGTGCTTAAATCTCTTCCCCCCTTGGATTTCTGTCTTCTGGATGTTAATCTGACATTACCTCATCACCTTGTTAGCTCTCTGATGTTTTTAGGGAGGTGGCTTTTATATTTTGCTCTGACTTCTCAGTTGTCTTCAGGAGGAAGGCTTCTCTGAGTTACCTGTCTGCCATTTCCAGAAGAGGAAATTTCTCATCAGTTTAAGTGTGCTCCTAAAAATAACATATAGATGAACTTTGCTTTTTGTATCAATCTAACAGTCTTTATTTTTCAAAAGGGAAATTTAATCCCAGCACATTTAATATCAGGATTGATCGGTCTTGTTTTATTTCTCCTAATGTTTTGTTTCCTAATTCTTATTTTTCCTCCTGTGATTCAATATTCCCTTATTAAGTTAAAAATTTAATGTAGATTTTTATTCATTTAGTGGTTATCTTCCTCCTCCCTATACCCCCCCTTTGCATGATCAGATCAATAGGACTTTACCCTAATTTAAAACAATAGACCATTATTTCTCCTAAACAGTGTGGCATGCAGAATTCTAAGGCCCTCAAGATTTCTGCTCCTTGATATCTACACCTTGCAGGACCTCCTGCCCTTGAGTACAGTCAGGACCTGAGAATATGATGTAGCAGCCACTCCCTTGATTAGCTTACATGATAGGAGACTGTAAGAGCAGACTGCAGAGGCTTTTCCCGCTGGCTGAGAAGTAAACTGCCATGTTGTGAGAGGGTCACGTGGCTAGAATCTAAGGGTAGTCTAAAGATGTTGAGAGTGAGCCCTGGCTAATGGCCAGCAAGAAAATAGGGACTTAAGTCCCAGAACAGCAAGAAATGAGTAAGGCCAACCACTAGTGAGCTTGGAAGAGGCCTCTGGGCCTTGGATAAGATCGTGGTATTAGGGGATACCTTCATTTTAGCCTCAAGACCCTAAGTGGAAGACCTTACTTATTTGTGGCTGAATTCTTGACTCATGAAACTGTTATATAATAAATTTGTGGAATTTTAAAACATTAAATTTGTGGTAATCTATTACACAAAAATAGAAAGCTCAAGCACCAAGGTAATCTTGTTTCCCCCAATAAGATGGTACTATTTCTTCCCTATAGTAGGAGGAGACCTTCCACTTTCTGCTGCTTTTCCTCCTTTGTCCTACATTTTCTACTATTAAGGACCTCAGGAACACTCTCTAGATTACTTGCTAGGGCTGCTGTAACCAAGTACCAAAACTGAGCAGCTTGAACAACAGAAATTTGTAGTCTCACCATTCTGGAGGCTACAAATCCAAGATCGAAGTATTGGCTGAGTTGGTTCCTTTGAGGGCTGTGGGGAAACAAATCTGTTCAATGCTTCTCCCGTGGCTTCTGGAGTTTCCTAGCAAATTATGGCTATCCTTAATGTGTAGAAGTCCCACCCATCTCTGCCTTCATCTTCAAATGGCGTTCTTCCTGTGTCTCCAAATGTCTTCAAGGATGTCAGTCATATTGGATTGGGATCCACCCTACTCCAGTATGACCTCATCTTAACCACTTACATCTGCAATAACCCAATTTCCAAATAAGGTAACATTTATTCTCAACTGGGGGTTAGGACTTCATTATGTGAATTGGGAGGGGGTGGGCATTAATTTAACCCATAATACTTTCATATCTTCCCTTTTTCCTTTCTTTTAGGTTTAGCTGAGACTGTATACAGTTGACCCTTGAACAACACACAGATTGAACTGCATGGGCTCACGTATGGATTTTTTTTACAGTGCTATCAATATATTTTCTTTTCCTTACGATTTCCATAACATTTACTTTTCTCTTAATTTATTGTAGGAATACAGTGTATATTATACATAACAGTCAATTAACATGTATTTTGTATGTTATTGGCAAGACTTCCAGTCAAGAGTAGGTTATTAGTAATTAAGTTTTGGGGGAGTCAAAAGTTCTA